AAATTTTAATCAGTTCTTCCTTAGCCGATGGGAAATGCACTCACAAAATTTCGTACGGATATGTTTGGTATTTCTTGAGTTATCGTGCTCACAGAATGAAATTTATTTGCTCACGTTTCGTTGAATCATAGGAGGCTCAATAAATAGTGACACAAAAAAGATTAAATTTGTTTAAAATTCAATAAAAATTCATTGTATTACTGTGAAAATGTTTTAGCAACTGTCATTTTTTTAAAAAACGAACTAAAAGTTTGTGGTTCTAAAATCTATAAGTTTGGGCCGTAATTAATGTGAGAATTTTGGGCGAGGGGGGGGGGGGGCGACAAACAAAGCAGAAATGGAAATTTTATATTTTAGGCCTCCTATATGATTCAACGAAACGTGAGCAAATAAATTTTATTCTTTGTTATGTTTTGTTTGAAAGCCATAGGCTGGGCTTTAATATTTATCTTTAAATTAAGTTTTCATGCCTTTATTTTGAGTTCTTCTTTTAAGTTTTAGCCTGATCTATTTCTTTTATATGAGTGGTCAAGCCAGTAGTGATTACAAAAAAAAGCGATTTACAGCAAGCGGTCATTGTTAGATTGATTAGACATTTATATTAGACAGATATAATTCGACATTTCTACTTGCAAAAGCATGGTGCAAGTGAAAGGATGGCATGTATGTATAATTATTCTGTGGCTTGGCGCAACGTGCGTAAATATCACGAGTACGATATGAGCCTGAATCGAAACAATCAAAGCGAAAATCTGGAAGAAAATAAATTTCTAGATTTGAATAAACATTTGGGCACTTTGTTAGTGACATGAAAATAACCAAAAACTCCGTATAGGTAAGCGTAAAAAACCGTAGCTATAGGGGTGTGTGTGGGGTCTTCTCGGCAAAATAACGGTCTTATCGGCAAATCGATTTCGTAATCAGGGAAAATATTTGAGTGACTTGGATAAAAAAGTAATAATTATAGCAAAAATTTAGGTAAATTTACAAAAATTACGGAAAAAGTTAAGAAATTATGATATGTCGGGAAAATTTTTTTGTACGTGCGAAAAAATTGCGCTACGTGCGAAAAATGTTTTGCCATCCGGAAAATTTTTGTTACGGCCTTTGGTAAGAAGATTAGAAGAAACTACAGAGCGCTATACGTCGGTTGACGCCATCTCAGATTTTAATATTTTCAATTCTGCTTGGCTGTTTCGCATTCAAATTGAACATATTAATAGCACTTGTTAGAAATCCGAATAGTTGAACTTTCAAACTGTAGTAAAAATAGCCTATATTTGCTGCTATGAAATTTTCATTTGAATTAACGTAGCCGTAGGGTTGCATTTTTTATACACCCTGTATAGTAAATAGAGTTCACTGACACTGGGATGATAACTATTACGAAAAAATGAAGCAATTAAATTCAAATGGAAAATTGTACCAAGGTGACTGTATAAACTTTGCATGTCCAAAAGTGTACAAAGGTGGATAAATTTTATCCGTTGGAGTCGACCTTCTGTGTATATTTTAGTCCTAGTCCGTCTTAGATGATTTTATGTTTATCCCAAAACTTAGCATGAGTAAATGTTACAGGAATTATAACATAGGAATCTATTGGTCTTAACCTATATTGGTCTTAACTCAACGATTTTAACCTATCTTAACTCAGAGATCCCAAAAAAACTTCTAACTAATGTTGGAATCAGAAAAAGCGCATATTCTATCTATATCATGCATGAGATCAAATAATTAAGCTAAAGTCATGTTATTTCAGGAAGGGCAGTTTTTGCAACTCGGTGTTTTGAAAAGGGAGATTTCTTGTTAATATATGGTGGAGAGTTGATAAGCGATGAAGAGGCGGAAAAGAGGGACGAAAAAAATGATGAAAACTCACCAGTTTGGCGATTCTTTTTCAAATTTGATAAAAAGTATCTGTGGTAAGTAAAGCTTGGAGATCATAATAGCAAAATTATATGCCACTTACTTAAGAGCCAACCCTATGAACCCTAAAACCGCAAAAGTGTATGATAGAATGGTAGCAGTGAGTTAAATTTTTATTCACGCAAAACAATTTCGGAACAACTAACCCGCAATTGCGCACATACTTAACGTACTTTTTCAAGAATATCTATTAGCAATATGATTTGGAGAATTAAATCTTTTGTAAAAATCTGGGAGAGAAACCATGCATTGTGTGGCAATTAAATTGGATTTTATATTTAAATAACAGCTACGATGCAACCAAAGAACCCGATGACGGTCTTGTGCTCGGACGGCTCGTCAATGATGGCTACAAACATGCAGATATCAATTCCAAAATGAAGATGATTGTGGCAAATGGTCAACCAATTCTCTGTCTTTTTGCGACCAAAAACATAAGTCCTGGGGAAGAAATTCAGTATGATTATGGCCAGCACAATTATCCATGGCGGGAGAATAAGGTAAAAAGCTAGACTATTGTATTACTTTAGAAATAAAATCCCGCCGCCACCTTACCATGCAGATTTAAGTATTTTAAAACTGTCTGCGTAGATGAATTGAAAATGTAAAATTGTTAAGACAGAAAGAAACTATAAATGCAAATAATGCCACTAATTACTACATGAGGCGAAACTTCGTGTCAATAACTGGTGAGATAATGGCGATTAAAATAGAGACATCCACCGTATATCAGTTGTTCTGCGATTCCATTTATTGAACTACTCGCCGTATATTAATAGTGATCGATTGCAAACTGCATTGGAATAAATAACTGATATATTGCGAAGAACCAATACGAAACTGCAAGGATTATGAAAAGCACGCTCTCTACCTTGTTGTATAGGAGATGGATGAAGCTGATGAAAGACCAAAAACAAAGAAGCCAAAAATAACAAGTGGTGACGACGAGGTATATTTTGTAATATGCTTCTTTTAAGGAGGCTCCCTAGAGTTGTCAGTGTTTTAAACTGAAAGCTATTTGAATCTAAAAAAACTAATTTTTTGCACAACCGGCCCATTGTTTCTTCGTATATAAACGCATACCTAATTTTAGTGTGCAGTGATAACCAATTTGTGCAGTGATAAAAGTAAAATGTGCAGTGATAAATTGTAAAATGTGCAGTGATAAAATTTGCTTTGATAAGTTGTTAATTAACACAAGAAAATGAGACAATGTCAATGAGCAGAAAAACTCAACTAGTCCGGCGAAACATTTTGAAGGAGAATGATTTAATTGAAATTGAAATGATGACTGCCAAATTATCGAACGTCCGCACTAATAACATACTTATGGTTCATCAGATGAACAAAGTCTCTCACCAAATATCTCTTTATGGGTTTGGAAGATGGAGTGAATGATACTTAAGATTTTGTAATTACTGTATAATTTTCAGAATTCTGTAGAATGTCCCCGTGCATTGCAGGAGATGCCCTTTTATAGTGCTAGATTACAAAATTGTCTGTAGGTGCATGTCCCTGGAACTCCTCTAGAGATTTGTCATGCCAAAGCCCGTAAGCCGCCTTTCATTTGCCAAGAGGAAAATATTTATTTTCTTCAGTCATGTTGTTATGAAACTAGGCTGTCATAGATAGTCGTAACTGCAGGTGCTGTCAAGGCCGCCCAGAGGGGTGCAATTTGCCCTGGGACCCGAGTTAGAGGGGGCCTAAATAAAGAATTGCAGTGAAATATACCGCATAGATATAACTGTCAACTAGACTTTCAGAATGCAGGATTTGACCATTTCTGGGACCTCTGATTTCAAACATTTTCCGGGAGACCCCCTAATCGTCGTGTTAGAACATGGAATTGCGAGAGCCCCCAAGTCAAAGTTTGTCCTGGGCCCCCAAATTCCCCCGATTGCTGTGCAGTGTATGTTCGTTTTGTCATTTTTGAATATGAATTGTAGCTTGCTTTGTTGTTACACATTATTATATAGGGTTTGTAGTCTCCAAGACCAATAGGAATTCTGCCTATTTTCAAAGACTTTTCAAAGACCTTTGAGAGCAATAAGCTGTCGAAAAATTGCGAGTGTAAGACCATTTGTACCCAGTAATTATAGTCCCATCAAATCACATCCTAAAATGCGCATTTTCGTCGATATTTGCGAAAATCTTGATTCAATCAATCAATTTTATTAGCTAGGAAATCGTATAATCAATTCCTCACTAAAGAATTTAAAGACTTTTAAAGGCTTTCTTCGCTTTTTCACACAATTTAATGACTTTTCAAAGACCTCAAAGACCTGCATTCCAATTTAAAGATTTTCAAGGATTTCAAAGACCGCTACGAACCCTGTTATTAGGGTGTGTTCAGGAATTTTCAGGGCGTGTTTCTGCTCGGCTAAACTTTGCACAAAAATGTGCAGTGATAAAAAATTCCTAAAATTAGGTATGATACTACCATAGTCCATACTATAAAGGTAGTAAAAAGTACAAATATGCTATAGATGTCCAATTATATTATTATCATCTCTTGGCCAGATGACAAATTAAGACCTACTATAGATAACGATTGGACATATAATATCATTCCATTTATCATCCTTGTTTGGCTTTGTTATATATGTACATATTTACTTTTTTGGTCAATGTATACTCATTATTTTATAAGATCAAACCCTGCACGGTGTAATCATTTATTTATTTTATTATTCCTCACTAATCACCTCTTAATGCGATACCTCCTCATCCCTGTCTAATTAGCTACCTTCACCATATTAGGATGATGATCACACTATGATATTAATATTAGGATGATGATCACACTATGATATTAATCCTACCCCACCCCTACCATCACATCATTCATACTCACTATACTATTGAGTAAGCTACTTAGAAAGGACTATATCATTGCTCTGCTTTATCAAACTAAACAAAAGATGAACTGCTAGGTGCGTGGTGTTGGAATGTCGCGCAATAACAAGACATTTGGTAGGATAACTTTACTTTTAACATGTAGTAGTTTTTCATTTCTCACTATCTTGCCACCCTTCATTTTTGTTACTGTGCTATTGGTTATCCTAACTCTTAAACTCTCTTTCATTCTCCTCTGCAAATTCTACCTACACCCCTCTTAAAAAACCCTGCTGAAGAAGACTGTTAGGTCGAAACGCGTACAAGGTTGCCTTTCCTTTTCTCTCCTTTATCTCTCTACTTATCGTTTCCAATTAACCAATTCACCCCTCCTTTAGTTTCTATAATAGTTATTGCCATAATGGTCTATTATACAAAAGGTCTATTACACCTCACAATTCCCTCTTACCCTGCAGTGGCGTAGGATCCCCCTATCATGGAGGGGGGGGGAAGAAATTTTCCCGTTATACTATACCGGAAATTGCATGTTTTTGACCAAGTTTTTTTTTAAAAAATGGAAATTTGCAAACAAAAAGGGTACCTTTGAAGTTAATTTAG